TTCAATTTGATGAATCTGTTGAGTTAGATCATTGATTTTCTTTTTCTTCCTTTTTTATGTATGTGCTTATTGCTATGAACTCTTCCCTGAGGACTGTCTTAGCTGTATCCCAGAGGTTTTGGTATGCTGTATTTTTATTTTCATTTGTTTCAAGGATTTTTTTTTTTCATTTCATTATTTCTTTTATAACCTAACTATGTTCTAGCAGAGAGTTATTCAGTTTTCACATGAGTGGTTTTGTAAACTTTATCCTTCTGTGGTTAATTTCTAGTTTTATGGCATTGGGGTCTGAAAAGATACTTTGTACTATTCAATGTTTTTTACTGTGTTGAAGTTTGTTTTGTGTCCAAACATGTGATTGATTCTGGAGAAAGTACTATGTGCACTTGAGAAGAAAGTGAATCATGTTTTAGTTGGATATAGTACCCTGAATACATCCACAAGGTCAAGTTTAGATCTTCTGCATTTTTGTTGAGTTTCTTTTGGGTTGACCTATCCTTTGGCGAGAGTGCTGTATTGAAATCTTCTACCACTATTGTGGTGCTATTTCTTTCTTCAATTCTGTTAACCGTTGTTTTATGTATTTTGCAGGTCTATCATTTGGTGCACAAATGTTGACCAAGGTTATGTCTTCTTGCTCTATTATGCCTTTAATCAGTATGTAATGTCCTACCTTATATTTTATGGCGATTTTCATTCAGAAGCCTATTTTTTTTTTCAGAGATTAGTATTGCCACTCCTGCTTTTTTGAAATTGCCATTTGTTTGGGTTTTTTTTTTTCTCCAACTTTGATTTTTAGTCTATCTTTCTCTTCTTTTTCTAGATGTGTCTCTTATAGGCAACATATTTATGGGCTTTGCTGTTTTTTATCGGCTAGTCTTTTCCTCTTAATTGATGCATTTAGTCCTTTCACATTAAGTGTGATTATTGTCAGGCCAGATTTTACCATTGTCATTTTGTTGTGTTTCTTTTTCTTTTGTTTCTGATTACAATTGTCTATCTACTTTGCTTTAGTGTCTCCATGTGAAGGACTTCACTAAAAAGTAGTTTTGTAGTTTTGGTCTTGTTTTCACAAATTCCTTAAGTTCTCTGTTTTCTGCAAAGGATCTAATTTCTCCTTCCTAGCTGATGAAGAGCTTTGCTGGGTATAGGATCCTTGGTTGGCAATCGTTTTCTTTCAACTTTCAACTTTCTATATATCCCATCCCACTGTCTTCTTGCATAGTTTTTGCTGAGAAGTCAGAACTCAATCTAATTGTTTCCCCTTTGTAGTTGACTCTTTTTCTTGTGCTGCTTTTATAATTTTATCCTTATCTTTTGAGAATTTGACTATGATACGTTGGAAGGTTTTATTTTTTAGTCCAGTATATTTGATGTTCATTGTGCTTCTTGAATATGGGTTTCTCCATTTTTCAAAATACCTGGGAAGTTTTCTTCTAGTACTTCTTCCACAATTTTCTCAGTGATTTCCCTGTAACTCTCATGTTCTGGAATTCCAATCATATGTATGTTGTTCCTTTTGAGGCCATCCCATATGATTCTAATGTTTTCTTCATTTTCTTTACATTTCATCTCTGATTTTGCTTCTAGTATGTTTCCAGTGTGGCTCTTGTCTTCCAGCTCACTCATTCTCTGTTCCATCTCTTCAGTTCTACTTTTTTGTCCTACCAGCATGCTGGACACTTCTGCCATTTCAGTTTTAATATTCTGAATTGCATGTTCATGCTTTTCTATTATTTCCAGTATTGTGCTGGATGTATCCTCTCTGTCTTATGATGTCAATTTATTTAAGTTGTTGGACCTCTTTATCTATACTGTCAGTGCTTTCTTCCATCTTTTTCAATTTCTTCCATATCTATTCAAGTTACTCCTCATCAATATATTTCTTCTGGATTGTTGTCTCAGGGATATTTGTTCTCTTAATGGCTTCCCTTGTTTCTTCCACTATTTTCATCTTCTTCTGTAGCTGTTCATATAATATAATAGCTCCATACAATATAGTTCTTTGTTCTCTCTAACTGGGTTATTCATTGGATCTGCTTTTTTCAAAGAAGGGTTATTTTTTTTTTTCATAAGACTGAGGCAAACTGTTGCTTTCTTGACATTATTTGAGTCTTTTATTAGTAAATGTTAGGTTGTTGTAGCTATATAGTGACCCAGAGCATGGCAATGTTTTGTGAAAGACCTGTATATTTGTGCTCCCCTTTTTGCTGAGGTCCGCAGGCCTGAGGGACTTACAGCAGTGATTCTTCCAAAGTACCTGAATGGTAAACCAGGAAGGCTGAAGGCTGTTATACCCTTCCAGAAATGGCATCTCTGCCCAGCTGGATCTGTCCTGGACCCTTCTGCTTAAGAGGATTTGTGTGGTGTAGCTAGACAGCAGTATTTCACCCAAAAGTGCCTGTGATATTGGTGCTCCTGGCCCTGGACAGTGGGGGCAGCAGGTAGGTCATGAAATTGCAGCCCTTCAACCTGGCAGGCTGTGATTCTGTCACCTGTCAGGGTATGACTGTTTGTTATTACCTTTGACTTTCTTCATAGATAATGGCCTTGATGTTGTTCCCTGACTCATCTGATCTTCAGTCATTAGTGTTCAATATGTCAAATCTGTTCTTAAGATGGTTTATAATTTCAGTTGAAATATACTCAAGGTCATATTGTGGTTCTCTTGGCTTTAATTTTCATTTTCTTAAACTTCTGTTTGAACTTGCATATGAATAGTTGATGGTCTGTTTCACAGTCCGCTTCTGGCTTTGTTTTAGGTGATGTCCATGGACATAGTCGCTATTTATAATTTTTTTTAAAAAAAGTATTTGCAATTATTAAATCATTCATTACACAAAACTCTATCATATGATGTCAGACTCATTTCTATCACCAAGACCATATTTGCTAAGTCCCAGTCCATCTTCTTTGTGTCCAACTTTTGCACCACAGCCACCAATTATAATTCATGAACTGTGATTGCATGGTCTATCCATTTCAGACTGCAAAAGTTTATAAAAAGCATCAATTTCTTCATCTTTGGATCCTGTGGTTGGTAGATATTCTGAATAATAGCTGTGGTATCAGCACTTTCCTCTATGTATATGGTGACAGTATCCTATCCCTCTCAGTGTTGTGCCTCAGGACAGATCTTGAACTGCTCTTTTTGACAATGAATACCACATAATTCTTCTCTAACTCATCATTCCTGGCATAGTAGATCATGTGATTTTCTAATTCAAAATGGACAATAACTTTAAATCTCAGCTTACTAATGACTAGGATGTTGGTCTTTATGCATTTCCATCTATGCAACTTCCAGTTTACCTAGATTCCTACTTTTTACATTCTATGTTCTGATTTTTAGCGGTTGTTTGCAGTTATTTCTCCTCATTTTGAGTCTTACTGCATCAGCAAGTGAAGATACATCAGTGGGGAAAGTTTCAGCATGCTTGCATCATTAGGGTAAACTCTACTTTGAGAAGGCAGCACATATTCATATTTTTGGTGCCTTTCAATATAATTCTATGGAACAGTCATAAGAAAAAGAATGATAACACAATTACAAAAGACAGGGAAAGACTTTTCACAGAGGAATATATTCAGATGGCCAACAGAGACATGAAGAAATGCTCAAAATCACCGGCAATAAGAGATGTAAATCAAAACCACAATGAAATACCAGTTTTGGAGTCTAGGGTTCTGAGTTTAGGATGTCAGTAGAGCTAAGATCTCTCTCTGTTTTCTGGAATCTGGGAGAAGGTTCTGAGTTTAGGATGTCAGTAGAGCTAAGATCTCTCTCTGTTTTCTGGAATCTGGGAGAAGGTTCTAGGCTTTTGTAGTTGCTGTAACCCAGACATTTCTCAGGGTTCCTTGGCTACTTATAGATGGGTGTCTGCCTTCCCATGTGTATCTGTGTCTGCTCTTCTCTTCTACAAGCACTTCATCTCAAAGTGGATAAAACGCTAAGGATAAATACATTCTGACCTGAATACTATTCACAGCCATGCTAAGGGATGGAGCATTAAGATAAAGATCTCTTGAGACGTGTAAACTTTCAAAAGGTATAGTTCTCAAACTCTTTCTCGGGAAGCAACTGGAGTATATACCAAATGAAGAAACCAAAGAACTAGGAATTCATCATAAGGCAGTAAAAGTAAACAGAACCCTCAGAGTAATGAAGAAGGGAGAGCTTATTATGCCCGAACTCCATCTAGAACACACCTGGAAGGATCAAAGAGCAATACCTGTATTGATGAATCTCTGTACCAACTTTGCTGCTTATAAAGGGGAAGTGTTTTCTGATTCAGCCCATAGTCTTTCTGATCACATGCTGCACATCTGAGAGCTGGACAATGAATACGGACAACAGAGGAAGAATTGACATTTTTGAGCTGTGGTGTTGGAGAAGAGCACTGAACATTCCATTAACCTCCAAAAGAACAAACAAATATGTCTTGGAGAGGGTACAGCTGGAGTGCTCTTTGGAGGCAAGAATTATGAGGCTATGCCTCACATACTTTGGGCATGCTGCTAGGAGGAGCCATTCCTTGGAGAAGGACATGATGCTGGGAAGAGTGGATGGTCAGCGAGGGAGAGGAAGACCCTCGACCGGGTGGACTGACACAGTGACTGCTGTAATAGGCTCTTACATGTTAGGAAGTGTGAGTATGGCACAGGATAGAAGAGGGTTCTGAGCTTTTGTTCATGGGTCACTATGAGTCATACTCCACTCGATGGCATCTAGCAACTCCTGTTCTTGCCTGCTTCCCTGGGTGAACTAAAACCAGCATGTGCAAACACATGTCCAAAGGATCAGGAACCAAATCCTTGTATCATTTGCATCTCAGGATTTGAGCCGAAGATGCTGATATAAACAAATGGATAGATTTGGAAATGATGCGTCACTTGCCTCCTCCTGTCACGACTCATGGGAACTACTAAGGATCCACCCACGTAAGGAAGAAGGGAGACATTTCTCTTCAGATACTAACTCGGAGACAGGCTTCAGGATGATGGAGACCTGTGACTCTCCAGAAGACCCACGCTCCCCTCTTGTTGTTATCTTCGTTGTCATCATCATAGGCCTGGAGTGCATCATAGGAATCACCACAAACGGCTTCATCGTGGCTGCCAGTGTGGCACAGTGGGTTCAGAATAAAGTGGTGCACTTGAGTGGTAGGATTCTAATCTTCCTCAGCTTGTCCAGAATAGCTCTCCAGAGCATCATGATGCTAGATATAATTCTCAGCTCGATCTTCCCACAATTTTATATGCAAGATGTGGTATATGACGCCTTCAAAATCAGTTTCATGTTCTTAAATTATTGCAGTCTCTGGTTTGCGGCCTGGCTCAGTTTCTTCTACTTTGTGAAGATCTCAGATTTCTCCCACCCTCTTTTCCTCAAGCTAAAGTGGAAAATTCCCCGATGGATGCCCTGGCTTCTGTGGCTGTCAGTGTTCAAGTCGTTGGGGTTCAGTGTATTCTTCTGCACGGACATCTATGCTATATCTTGTAGCAACACTTCTGTTCCTTGTTTCAACTCCACGGAGAAGGACTTTGTTGAGGCCAGTATGATCATCCTGGTCCTCTTCTACAACCTGGGCATCTTGTTTCCTCTCAGCATGTTCATCCTGGCAGCGACCCTGCTGATCATCTCTCTCAGGAGACACACCCTGCACATGCAAGGCCAGGCCTCTGGCTCCAGGGACCCCAGCACACAGGCCCACAGGAAAGCCATTGCCTCCATCAGCTACTTCCTCATTCTCTACGTCTTCAACGCATTTTCTCTATTTCTCTATACATACAACATCACTGATACCCACAGTGTCCGGACTATTTTGTGCAAAATCATCATGGCAGCCTACCCTGCTGGCCACTCAATTCTGCAGATCTTGGATAACTCCAGTCTGAGAAGAAGCTGGAAGCAGTTCCTGCACCGAGCTCATCTCCACCTGGCAGGACAGAGCCTGTGACTGACACCCAGGGAGCAGCACAGGACCTGGACCCTGGATCTTGGTTTCCTCTTAATATTTCTGTCTCCCTCTGTTCCCTCAAATCTATGCTGATACTTTCATCTGGTGCACATTTTTGTCCTGGAGACTGAGCATCAGTCATTTCTTTTGCTTCCCAGGCACGGTCTGTCTGAGTGATGATTTCCATGGACCTTCTGTTGCTACTTCTACTCGCTCTATTAAAAGCAATGATTCTAAGCCATTTTAACACATTAGACTCTCTGAGAGGAGAAAGATTTCAAAATACTAGCGTCCTGGCCTACCTTCAACCACAGTCAGAATTCCTGCTATTGGAAACTAGACCACATTCTTGAGTTCTTCAGATAAATTAAGTAAAATCTAAAGGAAAGGTCTGTAGCTTGGACTTTTGAGAACTCCCTTCTTGCCCCTCTTGCATGCCTTTGGGAAGTGACTGCAGAAGGCCACACTGAGTCCAATGGACATTTCCTGAGTAGCCTCTGGAAATGCATTTTGTGTCTTCTTCCAAAGACAACCTGAATAGCTTGAAATTATATCTATCAAATACTAACAATGCACAAAACATCTTTAACCCAAAAATATTGTTTTGAATTTTTTTCCCCTCCAGATAATGTGAATGTGCAAAAATATTTGTAGAAGGCTTTAGTCAGCCCTTTAACAGAACAAGCATTTATGAGGATACTGGTAAATCAATGAAATAGTATGCTATATAATAATTACTAAATGAAGTTTACATGATCTAAAATGTAAAGAGCTTCATTATATCTATGTAGTTAAATTTAAAAAGGACATTTTCTTGTGGAACAACGAGAAAAGATTAAAAAATTCTCAATTTTTTTTAAAAAGGAAGTATTCTGTGATTCTAGTTATATTTCTTTAAAAAAAATAACCATATGTAAAGAGAGGGAGAGAGTGAGTGAGTGTGTGTGTGTGTGTGTGTGAAGTTTATGAACCAAAAATGATGAATAAAGAACATTTTTTGAGTGCTAAAAAAACCTCTGATCTTTATGTCGTCCACATATATTTGCAACAGCAGCTCCAGGGTACAGCAGATTTATAAATACACATGAATCCATCACCATAATCAAGATAACAAGCATTGCTATCACTTTCCCACGTAGTCTATTGCATACATGTTAAAAGATACCCTCTTAACCACTTTGAACATGTTAAACTTGAGAAGGCATATGAAGTCCAAATGGAGACTTTCAAAAAAAAACAAACCTCAAAAACAAAAAACATGCAGGTAGAGAAGTCTAGAGTTCAGGGGAGAAATGTGGGCAGAAATTATAAAAAAATGGGAATCTTCAGCATGTGAACGGTATATTTAAAGTTATGCGATTACCAAGAGTGACTACAGAGAAGAAAAATCATTGAAGAGTTGAAATGTATGGGGTTGGGAGGAAACCAAGAAAATTAGTTGAATTCTGAGGTTTTTCAAGATTATGACACTCGAAGCTTCATTCAAACCCTAGAGATTGTTTTACGTCAAAGGGAAAAATTAGAAAGTAGAAATCTTTTGTCAAGCCCAACGGCTGTGTTTGGAGCAGAAATTAAACTGAAAACAAGGAGGTCAGGAGGAAAAGAAAGAACTAAACAAGAGGAAAATCGTTGCTTGGATGGAAGTTAGGGGTGCTGGGAACTGGCATGGGTGTCATGGGGAGCATGGGTCATCTGATAAAAAATGTAATTGCTCCAGTCTGATGACAACCTGATATAACATGAAGACAACTAAGTATTAGGCAGGATGATTTTCGGGTGGGAATGAAGAGGAATTTAGAAAATGTGTTAAGCTTTACCTTATTAACTCTGAGAAAGGGAACTGGCCAGGGACGAGTTATAGGTGTGCCAGCTGTGTGCTGAAGTGCAGACTCCTAGCAACCAGGTACGACAGAGCAGCCCTGGTCCAAAGCATTTCCTACACTAATATTTATGGCTGTTTCTATAGACATATCAAAATATATTTAAAAATGCTAACTATAGTCTTCATAGAAGAGGAGTCCTAGTAACGCAGAGGTTTAAGGGTTCAACTGTTGACCAGAGTTCAAAACTCAGCAGAGGAGAAATGTAGCGATTGGTTTCAGGAGAGATTACTGCCTTGAAAACCCCACAGAATATCTGTACTCTGTCCCATAGGACCAGCATTAGTTGGACAACAAACAGTTTGTTTGGTCTTTGGAACTTTGTGAACGTGAGGGAAGAGAGGAGCTTCCAGGAATCTTCCTCACTCCCTGATAGCAAGTCAATTCTGGTTCATATCAGCCCATCAGGAGAGCTGTTGTTTTGTGTCACTGAGTGACCGCAACTCATAGCCACCCTATTATGCACAGTATCTCCGAACTGTCCCCTATCCTGAGCCACTCTGTCTCCGACACACCTAATCCCATCTCCCGAGTTGCTGTGTCAATCTATCTCATCCAGGGTCTTCCTCTCTTGCTCTATTCCTCCTCCCTTCCTCACATGATGTCTTTCTCCAAGGACAGGTCCCTCCTGGCAACATGCCTTAAGTACATGAGACAGAGCTTTAAAATCCTTGCCCCAAGGAACAGCTTAGTTTCACCCTCTCCAGGACAGATCTATTTGTTCCCTTGGCAGTCCACTGCATGATCAGTACTCTTCTCCAGCACCAAAACTCAAAGGCATCAATTCTTCTTCTGTCACCCTTAGTCATTGGCCAGCTCTCTGATGCACAGCACATAATCACAAAGACCACAGCCTGGATCAGGCATATCCTATTGGGTGTCTGAGGGCAGAACAGACTTTTCGTCTTTCTCCTGCCACACGGCTGATGAGTTCTAGGCACTACGCTTACAGAGCCTTATTTTACCTTGTTTTCATCAACCCTTTCCATGGCACATCTTGTCCTTGCCATTACCGGGCAGGGCCAGCTTTCCCTGAGGTTTTTATCTCAAAGCCAATTCACCTACATTATCAATTCTCTTAGCCCTTCTGACTCTGACCCTCCATATCATTAACGAACAGCGGACTTTGGATCATTGACATCAGGTGTCTATCTGGGAATGATTGAAAAATGAACATTTTGTTTTCCACCTTTTTGTAGTGTTTGGGCTATTTAGGGATTGAAGTTCAACATCAAGAAGACAATGATCCTCACCCTGGGTCGATTGACAGCATCACAATAGACGGTGAAGAGATTGAGATTGTTAACAGCTTTCATTTTCTTGGCAACACTCTTGGTACCAGCAGCCAGGAAATGAAAAGACAAATTGCACAGGGGAAAGTCTACTCTCAGAGACCTCTCCAAAGTACAAAAGAGTAACAATGTCAGTCTGGAGACTAAGGTGTACCTGATCCAGGTCATGGTCTTTGCAGTCACTTGTTATGCATCAGAAAGCTGGATAATGACTAGGGAGGATAGAAGGAGAATTGATGCCTTTGAGCTGTGGTGCTGAAGAGCAGTATAGAATACACCGTGGACTGCCAGGAAAACAAACAGGTTCATCCTCGGGAGAGTGAGACCAGACTGCTCCTTGCAGGCAAGGATTCTGAGGCTTAACGTCTGACATACTTTGAGCATGTTGCAAGGAGGTACCAGTCCTTGGAGAGGGGCGTCATCCTTACGAGGGTGAAGGGACAGCACAGGGAAGAAGACCCTCCTTGAGATGGATCAATTCAGTGACTGTGGTAATGGGGGTGGGTGTGTGAGAGACAATAAGACTGACACAGGATAGAGCAGGTTTTAGGGCTGTTGTACATAGGGTCGCTATGAGGGACAGGTGACTCAACAGCATATAACAACAACAACAATGCATTAATTTCACCATTTTCAGAGACTTAATTAGGTAAGTAATTATGCATGTCATAAAGGTAGATAGAAGGATACTATGTGCTTTAATTTGTTGGTTGAGTTTTTCAGTATGTTTGCTTGCATGAAAAATGCAACCTCTAAAATCATTAATTCCAACATCTAGCACTCCCATTCCTCCTTCCTGTTTTTCTGTGTTACTTTCAGCAGTGCTGCATGGAGAAGTCCCAGATCCCAGACCACTGATAGATTTGGTTACATAGTTAACTATGATATCCAAATTCTTTGAAAACATGTATTTACCTATGAAATGAGACATATCTAAGGTTGCTTCAGAATAACCCAGCAGAGAAACAGGATACTCAGCTCACAGCACATAGAAAAATCAACTCAAGACAGATCAGAGACCTGGGAGGAAAGCCCAAAACCGTAAAGTTCATAATAGTCATACTGGAATCAAGCTTAGATGGACTAGTCTATGGTATAAAAAGACTGCTAAATACAGCCAGAAATGCACAATCTTGAGAGGATAAAATGGAATAATGTACTCTTGTCCAATACTACAATTCAAAGGCATCAATTCTTCTATCATTGTTATTCACTGACCATCTCTCAGCAGCATAACAAGTGATTGAAAAGACAATAGCCTGAATCAGACCCTCCTTAGTCCTCAAACTAAAATCAATGCTCATCAATCATTTGGAGAGGCTGCAGACTTTCCCAGTGCAATATATCTCCTGATTGCTGGTACCGAGAGTATTGAGTGTGGATACAAGTAAGATGAAGGCGTTGACAGTTTCAATCTCTTCTCCATCTATCATATTATCTATAAGGCCAGTGGTAAGAATTTTTATTTTCTTGATGTTGAAATGCAATCATATTGAAGACTGTATCCTTTGATCTTCTGCAACAAGCTCTTCAAGTCCTCCTCACTTACTGCAGGTAATGATGTGTCATCTGCATGACAAAGGTTATTGAGAAGTCTTCCTCCAACCCTGGTCCCACATTCTTCTTCATAGAGTCCAGCCTCATGAATAATTTGCTCAGCATACAGACTGAATGAGTATGGAGAAAGGATACAACCCTTACATGCTTCTTTCCTAATTTTAAACCAAGAAGTGTTCACTTGCTTTGTTGCCACAATAACCTCTTGTTCCAGTTACAGATTTCACAAGTGCTCTCATGCTGCTCAGTGTCAGCTGTACCTTGTTACGAT